GAAATATACCAGTCAATTTGAATGTGGCCAGATCCTACAAATAGCGTGGAAATAAATGACTAGATATTTAATATTTGCTGGATTGAATTTAAGGCACAGACAGGCTGTAGAGGGCTGTTGAGACTGGGCTGTTAAGTATATTCAAGGCTGAGATAGACAGATTTTTAACAAGTGAATCACTTATTCAGTATAGGGAAAAGGTAAGAAAGTGGAGTTGAGGATTATTTAGATCAACCATGATCTCGTTGAATGGTGGAGCAGACCCAAAGGGCTGAATGGCCTGTTCAACTCTGACATCTGATGGACTTCTGGCAAACTTGTCCATAGGTTGTTATGTTCCAGAGGAGCTCCCTCCCATTTTGTCTCACATCATCGGCATATCGGTGGCTCAGTGGTTAGCACTGCTGCCTCACAGTGCCAGGGACCTGGGTTCAATTCCACCCTTGGGCAGCTGTCTGTGTGGAGTTTGCACATTCTCTCTGTGTCTGTGTGCATTTCCTCTGGGTGCTCCAGTTTCCTCCCACAGTCCAAAGGTGTGCAGGTTAGGGTGGGTTGGCCATGCTAAATTGCCCACAGTGTTCAGGGATGTGTAGATTAGGTGGGTTACAGGGGGATGGGTCTGGGTGGGATGCTCTGAGTGGCAGTGTGGACTTGTTGGGCCAAAGGACCTGTTTCCACACTGTAGGTATTTTATGATTCTTTTCCCTTCTATACCGAACTAACTTCTGCTCAAGTGCATTTATGGCCAATATATTTATTGCAAGCTGAGCTATATTTAAACATCCTTTGACAGCTGCATAGCAGCCATACATTCATACTTGATTTTCAAGGAGACCCCTTGAGATCAGTCTGGGCAGTACCTTGTCAACTGCTTTGTGGTTGTGCACATGTGCATCTCAGAGGGAACATTGTTTGTAACTCCTAGTTTTGGATTCCACTTCTAAATTGGGGACATCGTTGAAGGATAATTTTGGCCGGACCATTCCATGAACCCCCTGTTCTTCTTCAAATGTTGATGCGGAATATCTTCCTTTCATGCTGACGTGGCATTTATTGATGTCCCACCTGGAAAACAGCACTTCTGACAGAACTGTATGCTTTGAGTGCTGCAGCGAAGTGCCAAATTAGATTTTGTGCTCCGGTCTCTGAAGTGGAAGTTGAGGGCACAGTGTTTTGACTTCAAGGTCTTTAGATATTTTTCCCAAACAACTCTATGCATAGCATTCCTAAGCTTTTGAGTGTGGGATACTTTGATAATCAGCAGAGTTTGTTGTGTTTATTACCCATCCCTAATTTCCTTTGAGAAAGTGATGTTGAGCTGCCGTTATGAAGCTCTGCAGTCCATGTGTTTTATGTGTACTCTCAGTGCTGTTCCGAAGGGGAATTCCAGGATTATGACTGACTGACTGTGAAGGAACACTAAAATATTTCCGTCTCAGGATGATGTGTGACTTAGAAAGGGACATTGTAGATGGTAGTATTCCCATTTGATGATATGCATAATTGTGATACTCATATTGAGGGTGTGCCAAGTTTCTGTAGGATCCATTTCCCTGTTCAATTCTGATTTAGAATCATTTGAGCCACAATCCTTCTGGAACGTGTCTGCAGCCGGAAGGAAACTGTGGATCTTCAGTCACCCAGTTTACCAAAAGGTGGGGCATGACATGGACCTCTTAATACTGACATCAATGTGAACAGCATGTGTGAGACCAGTGAGGGTGTTGGCTCTGATTGCTTACCTCTCCTTTGCTGTTTTGTTTGCACCTGGTTCAATCTGGAGAGGGAGCCCATGGTATACACCAGACTGCCCAAAGCCTCTCTCAACCTGTGGGGTCTCAGTACATGAGGCAGCTCGATGATGAATTAGTGTCACATCAATTTGTTAATACCTTGTTTTGAATAGAATAGTTGGGGGAATATTTTTCTGGTGTTGACCTCATCCTAGCCAGCATACAGTGGTGATCCTGTTTAAGCTTTGGTTCAAAAAAAAAAGTTCTAGAGTCCTTGACAGAATGCCCAGTAATAAAGAAACTGATTAATTACCATACTGAACTCCCTTATTGTTCTCCAAGAGAAGATCAAGACAGTTTCCCTGTTAAGTGACAATGCAAAGTATTACTGGAATGCTCATTTTCAATGGTCAAGAATAGGGCAGCACGGTGACTCAGTGATTAATTCCACCATCTGTGTGGTGTTTTCACATTCTCCCTGTATCTGCATGGGTTTCCTCTGGGTGCTGTGCTTTCCTCCCATAGTCCAAAGATGGATTGGCCATGCTAAATTGCCCATAGTGTCCAGGGTTGTGTGGGTTACATGGATAAGCCATGGGAAATACAGGATTACAGGGATAGCACAGCGGGGTGAGCCTGGGTGGGCTGTTGTTCGGAGGAGTGGTGTGGACTTAATGGGCCAAATAGCCCCCTCCTACGCTGTAGGAATTCAGTGATTCTAAGAAGAAATGCTGCTATAGACACCATACTGTGCTAGCTAGATGCAGCTAAGGATTATTGTCAAAAAGGTTAATGCATGCAAATTTACAGGCATTTGTATACATCCACTTAAGACTCAATTTTAAACTCAATGCTTTTCAATTAAATTTTTTGTTACTTGGTCGTTGAAAGTTCTCCCTTGAGATAAGCAACTTGGATAAGATTCCAACCATAATGGGCTTGCATTGGTTGAACAAAATATCCTGGTGTGTTTAGCAAATTGTGTAAACTAAAGTTATATTTATTTCTCACAGGCAGTTTTTAAGGCTATTAGTCCATTTTAGTAATTCCATTGGCAACCACTGAATTGGGGGAGGGGGGGTGGTGGGTGAGGTTGGAAAATGCAGTTATAATATATATATAAGATCAGTTTTCTGAATTAGCTAGGATTGATTGGATTCTGAAAAATTCTAATGATATGAGGCTAACTCTGCTTCGTCCTGAGCTTCCTTTCCACCCTTTAATGTTACCAGTGCATGATTAGCATCTGAAAATACTTCATAAGGCAAGAAAATTGAACAATTTCTGCTAATCACTCTCTTCAGCAGCTGCCATTGCAATTTACAGGTTTTGAGTTTCAAGAGTAATAAATACTTGCATTTATTTAATACTGCTTATGTTTAAATAGAATTCCAGCCATTTACAACAAAGAAATGAAAGGTAATATAGTAATAGAGCAAGGCCAGGGAGAGGGAAGAGGATGGGGTCAGCTAATGTGGAGACTGGGGTGAACAATGTCTCAATGCACACATTTTGAAGACTTTCAACCACACCTACTGCCCCCTAAAAACTACCAATATCTTTTTGGATCCACAATACCATCCCAATGAAGCCACGTTATCCTTGCAATGTTTCATATTGCCAGATACTTACTAATAACCACCCCACAAATTTGAACTGAAATGTTCACTGCAGGACTGTGCAACATCCACCAAGTGCTACCTTTCTCAATGTTCCATTTGAGAAATTCAGAGTGCTTCCCATTTAAAGAGACGACATTAATTAAGTCAGTAAAAGTAGGGAAGTCACCACAGTCCATTTTCACATTAGAGAGAGGGAGAGAGAGATGACTGGTGATGGTTTAACCTAAGGGTTACCACACCTCAGTGAGAGGTGAGGTGGGACCTTCATGGTGACCTCAGCCGGTATGGGAGTTAAACCCATGCCGTTGGTGTCAAACTGCATTGCAAACCAGCCGCTCAGCCAACTCAGCTAACTCACCCCAAATGGTGAGATAAGCAACCCACCTATTTTTCTTTTAACTTACTAGTGGGACATAGTTGTCAGTGGCTGGCCAGCATCTATTTTATCACCCATCCCTAGCTTTCCTTGAACTGAATGGCTTGCTAGGCCATTTCAGAGGGCAGGCGAGAGTCAACCACATAGCTGTGCCTCTGGAGTCACATGTAGGCCAGACCAGATAAGGATGGCAGTTTCCTTCCCTGAAGGACATTTATGAGCCAGATGGGTATTTCCAACAATTGACAATGGTTTCATGGTCATCAATGGATTCTTAATTCCAGATAATTTTCTTTTTGTCAGCTGTAATTTTTACATCACAGGTAGTTTTGTTTCTGAAAGGTTTTCACCCCTAAATTCAACATCAGCCCTTTTCCAGTATTTCTTCCATTCCCACAGCTAGCAATTAGCCTCAATTCTGAGCTTCCCTTGTAATGGTACAGTCAAGCAGAAAGTGCTGGGTACAAGCCTATATCCTGTCATTTTGAGCTTTAGTGCTGCACCTCCTTTACAAATATTTATTTTATCTTCTGATTTCTAAGGTTTCATTCCTTATCACCTCAAAGTCATAGAGTCATACAGCACAGAAACAGATCCTTTGGTCCAACTCATCCATGCTGACCAGACATCCTAAATTAATCCAGTTCCATTTGCCAGCATTTGATCCATATCCCTCTAAATCCTCCCTATTCATGTACCCATCCAGATGCCCTTTAAATGTTGTAATTGTACCAGCCTCCACCCACTTCCTCTGGCAGCTCATTCCATACATGCACCACTCTCTGTGTGAAAAAGTTGACCCTTAGGTCCCTTCTAAATCTTTCTCCTCTCACCTTAAACCTATGCCCTCTAGTTTTGGACTCCCCAACCCTTGAATATTTACCCTATCCATCTCCTCATGATTTTACAAACCTCCATAAGGTCACCCCTCAGCCTCTGACACTCCAAGGAAAATAGCCCCAGCCTATTCAGCCTCTCCCTAAAGCTCAAACCCTCCAATCCTGGCAACATCCTTGTAAGTCTTTTCTTAACCCTTTCAAGTTTCACAACATCATTTCTATAGCCACACGCTCCATACTAAATGGCAGACATGTGGTTGCTCTAAAGCTATCGTTCTTTGCTGTTCAATGTTACATAAATTCATTACTTTGTCTAAGAATAGTCTTTTAAAACACTAATGCTACAAGATAAGAGTGGGAATGACAAGTGCCACAACATCTGACAGTTTTCTTCGAATTAGCAATTTTTTCTTTCCTGTTTTTGTGCCAGATAATCATAAAAGATGAGCTGCCAGGAGAAGCGTTACAAACATGTCCAGCAAAGGATGCTGCACTGGTCAAAACTGAGGTTAAAGGAAAAGTTGAAAATCCTGTAAGTGTTACTAATTGAGAATAAAGAAGGTAAAGTTGCTGTAGTGCTACCAGACGTAGGGCTGCTCTCCCATTAAAGAGAGACAACTGGCAATGTTTTAACCTGGGGTTTGCCAAACTTCAGGCTAGGGGAGAAATTGAGAAAGTGGGACTTTCATGGTAACCTCAGCTAGTGCGGGAATTGAACCCGAGCTGTTGGCATTACTCTGTTTTGCAAACCAACTTTTGGACCAACTGAGCTAACTGCCCCCCAGTTGAGAAGATACTTCTCACCTGTGTTAACCCAGCATTCAAATTGAAGAACAAATGAAACTGTTGGTGCTTTTGCACAAATGTGAAGGAAAATAGTTTGGTTTTCAGGTAAATGCATCATGTTGTGAGGTAATGTGCCATAGAAACCAAGACTTACTTGATTACAATCAGGGTGATATCATCTTCCTAACAGGGATGATGTGGCAGAGTGGTATCAGCATTGGACTGGCATCTCTAATGTTGAGAGTTCAGCCTCCATTGTAAGGTGTAAAATTGTATTGATAAATCTGAAGACTGGACAACAAACATTGTTGGACATCAAAAGGAAGCATATGTATGGCTTAGGAAACTGAAATCAGACAAAGCCCTTGAGGAATATAAGGCAAACAGGAAAGAACTTAAACAAGGAATTAGGAGGGCTAAAAAGGATCATGAAATGTCCTTGGCAAGTAGGGTTAAGGAAAATCCCAAGGAATTTTATACTTCTATTAGGAGCAGGAGGGTAGCTAGGAAAAAGGTAGGTCAACTCAATGGCCAAAGAGGGAATTGATGCGTGGAGCCAGTGGAAGTAGGTGAGATCCTTAATGAGTACTTTGCTTTGGTACTCACCAAGGAGAAGGACATGGTTGTTGGTAAGATTAGGGAGGGGTATGTTGATGTTCTAGAGCATGTTGATATTAAGAAGGAGGAGGTGTGGTGTGTCTTGAAAAACATTAAGATATATAAGTTTCCATGGGATCCATCCCAGGTTACAGAGGGATAGAGGGAGGCAAAGCCTTGACATAGATCTTTGTATCTCCTTGCCCCACAGGCAAGGTGCTAGAAGCCTGGAGAATAGCCAATGTTGTTCCTTTGTTTAAGAAGGGCAACTGGGAAAATCTAGGAAATTATAGGCCAATGAGTGGTAGCAAAATTTTTGGAGAAGATACTTAGGGATAAGATTTACATGCATTTGGAAAAGAATGGACTTACTAGGAATAGTCAGCATAGCTTTGTATGGCAAAGATCTTGTCCTCCAAATTTGATTGATTTTTTTGAGGAAGTGACAAAGATGATGGATGATGGTAGGAAAGTGGATGTTGCCTATGTGGACTGTACTAAAGTATTTGACAAAGTCCCTCATGATAGGCCGGTCTAGAAGATTAAGTCACATGAGATCCACAGTAAATTGATAAGTTAAACACAATATTGGCTTGGTCATAGAAAACAGAATAATTGTGGAGGGGTGCTTTCTGACTATATGTCTGTGACCAGCGGTGTTTGCAAGGATCCATGCTGGGACCTCCATTGTTTGTATTATATATAAATGATTTGGATGAAAATGTTAATGGTCTGATTAGTAAGTTTGCAGATGACATGAGAATTGGTGGAGGTGTGGACAGTGAGGAAGGTTGTCAAATGATAAAGCAGGATATAGATCAGTTGGAAAGTTGGGCAGAGAAATAACAGATGGAGTTTAATTTGGACAAATGTGATGTAATGGGTTTGGAGGTCAAATGCAAAAGGAAGGTATACAGTAAATGACAGGACCCTTAAGAACATTGATATACAGAGTGATCTTGAGATGCAAGTCCATAACTCCCTGAAGGTGGCAGCACAGATGGATAAGATGGCAAAGAAGGCGTATGGCATGCTTGCCTTCATTGGTTAGGGCATTGAGTGTAAAAGTTGTCAAGTTATGTTGCAAATGTATAAGACTTTGGTCAGGCTACTTGCTGAGTCCTGTGCATAGTTCCGGACACCACTTTGAAGGAAGGATGTGTAGGTTTTGGAGAGGGTGCAAAAGAGGTTTACCAGGATGCTGCCTGGTTTGCAGGGTATTAACTGTAAAGAGAGGCTGGATAAGTGTGGATTTTTTTTTGGCTAGAGCGTTGGAAGCTGAGGGTCAACCTGATAGGAAAGTATAGAATTATGAGGGCCACGGGTAGTCTTTTTCCCAGGGTGGAAATGTCATAGGTTTAAAATGAGGGGAGAAAGTTTAAAACAGATATGCTAGGCAAGTTTTTTTTTACACAGAGTGTTGTAGATGCATGGAATGTGGTAGAAGCAGAAACAACATCAACATTTAAGTTGCATTTAGACAGACACATGAACAGGCAGGGAATAGAGGGATATGGGCAGATTGGATTTGTTTAGAATAGCATCATGGTCAGCACAGACATGGTGGGCCAAAGGGCCTGTTCCTGTGCTGTACTGTTCTATGTTCCATAGTAAACAAGTTACTCACTGACAATACCAATAAAACAAATGATGTCAGTTGGGAAAAAAAAGATAGTAATTGACCAAATATTGGCTTTTACTAAATGAGGATTTAAGTGGAAGAATAAATATATCTTATTACGATTAAATAGATCACACCTGGTATATTGTGCATAATTTTGATCTCCATGTCTATAGAAAAATAGACTTGCTGTAGAGAGAGTGCAACAGACATTCACTGAACTTATTCCTGAGATAGAGGGAAAGCCCAATGAGGAAAAGTTGAGTAGACTGGCCCTTTTGTTCTCTGGAGTCTCAGTGAGAGATGATCTCATTCACACATGTAAAATTATTTCAGAGCTTGACAGCTCAGATATGGAAAGCTGCTTCCCCTGGCCCAGAGATGCTAGAACCAGGGGGCGCCATTTCAGTGTGAGGGAGTGGGTCATTTAGAACTGAGGCGAGGAGGAATTTCTTCATTCAGAGAATGGTGAATCTCTGGAATTCTCAGTCCCAGAGGTATATGGAGGCTCTGTCTTTGAGCATATTCAAGACAGAGATCGGTAGATTTCTACATACTTTAAATCAATATTTTAAATGATGCTTAAATTAGAAAATGTCAGTTAAAAATTAGAAAGTAAAATTCTTTGTGATGGAAGGTGTGTGATATATATAAATGTGTACATGTATAGAAATATTATTGTTCTCAAGAGGAAATAAGGTAAAACATCCTAAAGCTCTTCATAGGCCTGTCATTAGATATATTCTACACAGAATTAAATAAAGACATTGTGCAACAGAAAACCAAAAGCTTGGTCAATGATGTAGATTTTAAGGACCAATTTAGAGGAGATGAGAGAGGCAAAGAGGTTTGTGAAGGAATCCAGAGTTTAAGGATTAGACTTTAAAAAAGCTGACTACCAGTGGTGGAATGATTAAAACTGGGGATCCTGAAGGAGAGAATTGGAGAAATGCAGAGATCTTAGAGGTTGTTGGACTGGAGAAGGTGACAGAGATAAAAAGAGATGAGTTCATGGATAGATTTGAAAAGATGGATCCTTTCAAAGCAAGGTATTGGCAAATGAGGAGCCGCTGTAGGCTAGCAACTCAGTAATGACTAGAGAGTGTAAGGTAGGATATGTGGATCAGATATGATAACAGATGACACGAGGTTTGAAGCTCTGTGTTCTGTAGAGATACTCCAAACTTGTTTCATTCGAAAAATAATGTTTGAGGGAAGAGCAATGTACCAGCTATTTGCAGAATAAATTTGTGAACAAATTTAGTTATCAACATCAGAGGCACAGTGATTCAAGGTTTCAAACTCCAATTGAAACAAAAAATGGACAGAGGCAGCAGGTGAAACTAGTTTGGTAAGTCCAAGAAAAAGTTGGAAGAGTTGGTTACTGACATCCAAAGAATGAAAAAAAAATCAATTGTGGCAATCTCTCAACTTGAAGAGTAAAACAATGATCAAAATATTCAATGCAGTTCAGAAACAAACTACAGGTAAAGATACTTTCTTGTTATAAGTGGGATCACAGACCAAGGAGTCAGTCACTGGTGAGTCCAGTCTGAGGTTTCATCTTGAACGTTCTCTCATCTTTTCCCATTGCCATATTAATTGAGAGAGAGATTCACAAATTCCCTCTGGATACTGCTGTACCTGTCTGGAGGATCAAACATGCTGAGTAGACAGTCTAAGTCCACAGGGTGTTTTAGATCTACAAGGACAGCATCTGCTGGTTCACCCAGCTGTTATAGTTGCAGTTCAAATTTTTTTATACTTTAAAGTATTTTTAAATATCTTTTTCATGATTATCTTTTTCCTGTGTATGAATGTTCTGTCTCAATTTAGTGTCATCAAATTTAGTTCAAAAACTTTTGTGAAAACCTTTTTTTTTTCTGATCTGCCTCTTTGTTTTGTGGAACATTAAACATTTTCCACATTTGGTGTCTGCCTTCAATGTCAAGCATTCACAGATAAGTAAAAGCAAAAAATTACTGATGCTGGAACTTGGTGTTAAAAACAGAGTGCTGGAGGAACTCAACAGTTCTGGCAGTATTTATGGAGTGAGAAACAGTTCATGTTTCGAGTCTGGTATGTCTCGTCTTTGGAAGGATTTTTCTCTCCACACAGGTTCCCGGACCTGCTGAGTTTCTCCAGCACTTTACATCTTTATTTCCATATAAGGCTTGTTTCTGTTAGGGCTGGAGGAAGGATTGCAGTGGAATTTGCCAAGGGTCAGTACTGGGACTCTTGATTTTCCTAATATATATTAATAACGTAGATCTTGATGAGCAGGGGATAATTTCAACATTTGCAGATAACATGAAACTTAGAATTTTAAACTGTAAGGAGGACCGTGTCAACTCCCAAAAGTTCTTAGACAAGTTGGTGGAGCGGGCATATAGGTGGAATTTGAGTTACAGTGTAGAGAAGTGAGAGGTGATGCATTTGGTAGGAAGGACATCAAAAGACAATATAAAAGGGGGTGCAAAGCAGAGG